TTTAAAATCAGTAAGAACGTTGTAAACAGACTCTAGATTTTCTCAACTTTTAAATTCCGATTATACGGAAAATTTTCTACCAGAATTATGGTTTTGTATAATTTCTTGAACAAAATTTGACCATCAGTTGAAGTTGAATTTTTCTTTAAATGATCATAAAAACCAGTCTTTTTTTAAATTGGGCGCTAAAAACACAAAAATTGAAATTAAAAAAAAGCGCCCGACGGATTTTGATTTTTCTTGTCAGAAAATATTCAGTGAGGTTCCCCGAATTAGTTGCAACAGGAATCTTTGAAAGGGAGAATGTTAAAGGTTGAGATTGGTTCCAGGGTACCGTGTTTTTTTAGCTTTTAATACATTCTACAAAAAGTAAAGTACAATTCACCATCGTTTAGAATTGTTTCGTTGTATGCCAAAAAAGTTATGCCTATAAGAATAGAAAAAAGTACCTCCCGTGTAGAAATCACCATGCTATGCCTAAAATGATTATTGGCCCTAGCTTGGACCTAACTTGGCAACCCCTTTTTATATATCCTAGACTGGTCCTAACTTGGTACTAACTAGGAGATCCAGTTATGACTTAGAAAAATTTTTAGGAAAATAAAGTGTCAAAATTGATACATGAAAAACATGTAAAAATTGATAAATATTCTCAATTAATATTTATAAAATTAATTGATAATCATATTTGTTTAAACAATTTATTGTTTGACATAAATCAGAAAATTATACAAATATTATAAAATAAAGTTAATTTATTAATTTATTAATTCAGCAATTTTTTAAATTACAAATAATTGTTATTTACTAACTTTTCACACAATCAACCTAGAAACTAGCAGTTTTTTCTAATTTTGCAATAAGTAAATACTCAGATTAGTTAATTGCAAAATTTTAAAAGACTACAAGTGTCTAGTCGCTTTATTGTCTCAAGAATTAATAAATAATAACAATTTTTTGTTTTATCAAGAGTTAATAAAACAGTAACATTTATTTATTTATTTAAACAGATACAGACTGCAATATAATTATCATTAGTAGAATATATTTTTAATTTCGTTCGCTGATTTTAAGTTTCGTTTAAGTTGGTGCTAAGCACTAAAAGATATTGCAATTTGAATGTGGGCTGACCCACTCAGGTCCAACCCAGGCCCTACTTGGGCTTCCTAGTTTCATTAGCAAAAATTTCTAAGTCCAAATTTAAAAAATTTTTTGCAACAAAAAATTAATATTTAAAATGATTTAGAACAATGGAAAACGTGTTTTCAACATAAATTTTTTAAAAAATTTTTAATAAGTGGATCACCCACTTAATTAATTAGCAAAAATTTCCAAGTCCAAAAGACAAAAATTTTTTTAGACCAACCAATTAATGTTAAAAATGATTGAGAACAATGAAAAACCTGTTTTTAACGAAAATGTATAGATATTTTTTTCTTGATATAATATAAAAATATTAATTTTTGAATTTTTATAATTGAATTTTATTTTATTGTTGTTGTTAAACTATTTTTTTATTTATTATGGTGTATAAGTGTCACTAAATACTATATTGAATCATCAAAAGCAAGTCAACTTAAAAAACTGACTTAAAATGTTGTATGAATGAAGAATACCATTACTATCGAAATAAAACAATGCCGCGTCTGCGAGTGCAGTGTTACACTGCCGTTTCCTTTGTATTTGACCTATAAGACTGAAAAATTTATTAGTTGTATATTGAACTTGTTACTTGTTCCCATGTAGTTATATTATTGTTATTAAATAAAGTGACTAAAAAAAAAAAAAAAAACAGTGGTTAGGGCGTTAGTCTCGTAGTCCGTAGGTCATAGGTTGGATTCCCGCGTGCGTTAGATTTTATTTGCTTCTTAGGTTTGAGTTTATTCCGATTTTTCTGCATTGTATTCGTATAAGTATGCAATTTAAAGATTAAATATACTGTAAAATAATTTAATTAATAAATTTCTAATTTTTTTATAATTTTTAATGTATACATTAGAGGAATATATATTAATCTCTGCATATACTAACATTATTTATGAATTCGCTTTTGGTCATCATTTAATTGAAAAAAATAATAATAAATTAAAACTAATACTTATTATTAATAATGTAGGTTATTTCTTTAACAAATATTATAAACTGATTAAAATTATAATGAAATAGAAAATACTGTCTGAGATGGTCCTTTCTAGGTCCAAAAATGGACCCATAAACTGGTCCTAACTAGGCTCCCAAGTTAGGACCAGACTAGAATCGCATCACCAGCCATTGTTGGTCCAACCTACACTGCCAACCTAGGACCAAGCTATTAACAGGGCAAAATAGGTAGGACCTGGCTAGGACCAATTTTCATTTTCCACACGGGCTTGAGTAACACTACAAATTTCATGTTTTAAATTAATTTAATCTGTTTTATTATTAATATAAGGGAAGTAGGTTAGAATTTATTTAATTTTCCTAATTCAGTAGATTCTCCAGAGCTTTTATAAAGTAGTAAAAATATGAAAATAATTAATACAATACTTTAAAAATAGAAAAATTTGTCAGTAACATGAAATCGACCGGTTTTGTGGATATACCCATAAGTACTTCTAAAATTCGGTAGTTATAGTACAGTTTAAACAGCTGAGCAGACAAGCTGTTTGTCTCCGACAATGAAACTTGAGAGTTCAAATCTTCGGATCGACAAATTTTTTTTCTGCTTAAAATATTAAAACGGTATATTCAAAAGAATAAACTTAGCTTCTTTTCGGCTTCTCCAAATGAAAATAAAAAGAATTGGTCAGAAACGGAATTCAAAAGAATTAAAAATTTCGAATTCTTATTTATTTCTTACTTTTTACTGGGATAACAATAACTTCTTCAACTTTAAATACGTTTTCCAATGGTTTTTACCGCCTTGTTCCTAATAGCCCCATTTTGTAATTTCGCAAAAATGCGTCTTTTTCGTCTTTTTTGCTTCAAATTCCAGCTCTGATCAAAATAATTCTTTAACCCTTCAATGTGCTCGCCAAGATCAAGAAAAGAAACAAAAAATTAAGGCAATATTTTAATACACAAAAAAGTTGTAATCCTTTAAAGTTGGAATCTGTTCCTAATAGCCCCAGTTTACGGTACTCGTGTAGAACTTTGTCAAAAATTGAATTTTATTACTTTTGAAAATAATTGAATTCTTGTGATAAATACTACTATTTACGAAGATAATTTAATTTTGCAATGAATTTTATTAAAATTCCTAAAAATAATTGAATTTTACAATGAATTTTATAAAAGTTCTTGAATATAATTGAATTTCGGCTAAAATTTTTAAAATTAAAACTAATTTCAACAGAATTGAAATTAAAAATTTTCAAAAAGAATACTTCATTAAATGATTTATAAGTAATAACTGTATGGCAGCTCTTCAATAGAATTCAGTTATTTAAAATAACTTATTGTCAGAAATAGAAAACATTTAAGGATTTTCTAGAATTCATGGTAATTTCATAGTTTATGAGGCAAACAAAAAGACACAAAAATTCAGAATTTTCTTATAAATTCTAAACATTTAATTTTTTTAGTACTTTTAATAAAAATCCCTCACTTCTCTCTGATTTTCCTAACCTGTGGCTACCCTGTTGCAGTGAATAGTTTGACGAGTAGGCACAAAAGTAAATAAAATTTTTTTGAACTATAACAAATAAAAATACACTTATAGGTGTTGGTCTTCATTAGCAAGATATTGCAAATTCGCATCCTTGACTCGTTTTTAACGAATTAGGAAAAAAATTACTTGCAATAGAAACTGCTCGCTTTTTTCGCAAGGGTTCGTCCCACGTTCAATTTAAAGCAGAATATGTCACATTGTAAATGAAATAACGTGAATAAGAATAGATAAAATGAAAAGAATGCTTCGCATATGTAGTTATGCCAAACGAGAGTTGATAACGTTTAGCCAAATTGATGGTTGACTGTTGGATCAATAGTCAATTTAATTAAGTCAAATTAATTCTATTTACGATTATTATTACTCTTTAGAAACTGAATGAAACTAAATATAATAAATAGAAAAAGTCAATTAGAATTTGGCGCTATTTTTTATAGGTGGCAACAAAACAGAGTATAAGAATTAGTGCCTCATCGACATTATTTCATTAAAATAAAATAAATAATAAATTAAAGAAGCATGAAAAATAATCTTTTTCAAATTTGTACACGGAGAGAAATCTGCTGCTAATATTACTCGAAAGAGCACATTACTTAAATTGCTTAACGTTTCTCTTATATTTTTAGCATGGATTCATATACTTATTGTAAAAATACTTTCAATGCAATAAGCATAAGAGACAGTAGCTAATTTTGCACGAAATCTTTATTATAAATACAAAGAGAACGTGCTATAAAAGTATTAGATTCTTCTTATAAGAATCGCTCGAACTCCGACTGATTTTCAGGCGGACTGTATACAACACAATCTTACTTGCGTGTACGCACATATAACTCACACACACACATATATATTTCTCTGGACAGTTTTGTCGTCTGGTAAAACATTATATATTATATGTAGTATTTAATACTTGTTGCTGTTATAAAAAGATAATATTTATTTAATAGTAAGTATATTATTTAAAAATTATTGCATTTTTATTCGTGTTTGAATATATAAGCAACATGTGAAAATTGTTAGGTTATGTTATTGCAAACGTCACCGCTTTGTACGCGTTCCGTTCCTCGAAACCATCCAGAGAAATATATGTGTGTGTGAGTTATATGTGCGTACACGCAAGTAAGATTGTGTTGTATAAAGTCCGCTTGAAAATCAGTCGGAGTTCGAGCGATTCTTATAAGAAGAATCTAATACTTTTATAGCATGTTCTCTTTATATTTATAATAAAGATTTGGTGCAAAATTAGCAGCTGCTTTTTGTGTTTATTGCATCGAACTCTCCATTACATTAAATAGATGATTTCGTATATAAATTATTATAACCTCAAGCTAAAATTCTATTCAGCAGTGACTAATAAAATTTGTAAAGATTCTGCAAGCAATAATAGCAACAGATTTCTCTCCGTGTATATTTCAGAATCAAAGTCAGATGAAAATTATTATTAAAAAAAGAGAGGGCGAAACTCGATACACTCAGAAGGACAATCATAAGCAATGATTAATTGAGGTTCAAGAGTTTCAATCAGATAAATGTAGGTGGTTGCCGTAAGTGAGTACGTGTGTATACCTCTAATGTTTCTAAAAGTAAAACTTATTCTATTAAAGTAACAATTCCCATTAAAAAAAGTCGTAAATTTAAATACCATTATTTTCTCTTTAAAATGAATCGCAATTTTTGTCAACTTTAATATAGGTACAAAAAAGAGAAATTTCCAAATTTTAACATTCTTTGTTTATGAACCTAAATTAGTTAAATCATAATTCAAATTAGTACAAACCTTTTTATTCCCTTTTGGTAAAATTCAAAAATTTTATTTAGTGATCTTAGTAATTTTTCACTTTGAAGAAAAATGGAAAAAAAAATTAGAGAGAATAAAAATTGGGATCTTCTTTTTCTCTTTTTCAGGATAATTAATTATAATTTTTTGAATTGTTGAAAACCATGGTTTAAAATTTTTTAAAAATGGTCCTCAAAAATAATTATATAACAATGACAGAAAATTAAAATTGAATTTAAAAGTAATTTTTAAAAAATAACAAAGAATTTAATTTATCAAACTTAATTGTGATGCGCTCCAAAGAAAGGTACCTAAAGAAGTTACATATAGAAAATTAAAAAAGTCTCTGTGAAAGCTTCATTTGCAATAAGATAAAAATATGCGATTAAGTCAAAGAAAGAATTTCTCAAATGGGAAAGTAATTTTTTAAAAAAACAATAAAGATGTGTTTATCATAGGAAAAAGAAAAGAAAACTTCTATTGTTTGAAAGAAGTTAAGTACCAGAATCATCTCTCTTCAGCGAATCAAATGTAGTTAAGTTTAAGGAAGTGGGGAGTTACTCTACTTCACGTAAGTTGCTCACAGTAAGTGACAATTGAACTGTCTGAAGCACACCGAAGGCCTTTTTAAAAACGGTCTAGAAAAAAGACTTATGAAAGAATATCAACATCGAAATAAAATAATAAGACTGTGTGAATTTTTTTTAGTTTTCTCAGTGCAAGAAAGAATCAGATTGAATAGATTAATTTTAAAATAAATTTATTATCAATTTTGATACAAATATGGCGAAAGAAAGTGGAAGGCCAAACATTGCCTCTAGGCTCAAATTAAACATGAGCGAGTCACCTTTCTTTTGTAAAATTATTGAGCTGGTTAGTATTTTATCAGTAATACTCGTATAAATATTTTTACAAATTGATATTTTTCATTTTTTTGCAATTATTTTTTATATACTACATTTTAATGTTTATTTAAAAAATTTTTGTTTCATTTATCTTTTAAATCTTTTATGAAAATATATAAATTTATTTATTTTGTTTTATTTACTGTGTAAATTTTTATTCTATTTTTTTAATTTTCATATTATTTTTTGTTCTAAATTTTATTAAATTTTGTATGTTACTTTTTATTCCGATTTTTTTGTTAATTTTTATTTTGTTTTAATTTTTATTCTATTTTTATTTAATAGAGATCATTTTTATTTTAAATTTTTTTATTAAGTTTTATTTAAGTTTTGTTATTATTTACCTGCACATCTCAATATATTTATTCCACTATACATTTTTTAAATAATATTGATTTTGAAAATTTTTTAATATAAATATAAATTTACCAATAATTTTACAGAAACAATCAAATAAATTTTTCAAACAATTATTTCTAAACTTTTTTTTATATGATAAACTGTGTTAAATAAAATTTTACAAAAAAGAGTTTAAAATTATTTCAAAATTAATTTTTTCTATGGTAATGAAATTCCTTTATATTTCTAAACATTTAAAGTGTTTACAATATTTTTTTATATAAACCTTATGTAAATTAGAATAATTGTAACATATTGCTTTAAACATTCAAGAGAGTGAGTTATTATTATTCTAATAATTAAAAACTTTACAATTTTATGTTGAGTTGTTAAAAACATTTTGCACATTTTAACTGAATTTAAAAATTCCATTCATATATAATTTCAAGACTCTTTAATTTCCTCTCTACAATTTGCTATACAAATACAAAGTGAAAAAAAGAAAATTGAATTTTATTTATACATTTTTTACTTTTTAACGTAAATTCTTTTTGAAATTACAAATGAATTAATAAATATAAAAAACTATTAAATAAATTTTTATTCATTACCATTTTGATTTAATATTTTGTTAATAATAATTCCTAAATTAACAATTATTCTACACATCAAATATTTTTTATAACGCTTTAAATTCATTGTTTTCATTTTTTAAATTTTAGCAATCATATAATTTTAAAATAAATATTATTTTTATTAAATTTATTTTTTGTTCTATAAATTTTACATAAATAAATTACTACATTGTTAATTATATTTACTTTATTTATTTTTATTTTATTCAAATATTATTTATTTGTACATTTTAATTTTGACCCTACTTGTTTCATTTATTTATCAATTTTATTTGATTATTTATTCACTTATTTAATTATTTATTTACTAAAAGATTGAAATTGTTGAATAATAATTTGAATACTGTACATAATAATTATTTGCAGATATTGTGTATCGTCAGTTTGGGACTGATAGTGGGACCGTTTAACAGTCGATTATATATGAACTTCAAGAACACTGGATTAGTTTATGTAGCAATTTGCGGATACGTCTTGATAAATTCAATAATTATTTTTTGCTACTTAATTGGCGAGAAGATGCCAAAAAAAATGGTGAGCTATTTCAATAATTGCATTTTCAGAAAAAAAAATTTCCCTATAAATTTAAAAATGTCAAATTCCAATGCAAAACTCGTAAGAAAAGCTATCAGTCAGTCATAGGAAAGTATGGGAATCGCATAAGTCTGTTTTCATGCTATATAACTACATAATAACATTGAACTAGTTGAAATGTCAAGGGAGTCAAAGTTAAATGATTGAGGAGAAAAGTTACATTTGACATGGACCAGTTAATTTTTGAGAAGTAGAAAAGTGTAAATCCTCGAAAATATTAAAAGAATAATTTATTACATTTCATTTAAATTTCATTATTAAAAGCACAATCGAGTAATAATACCTAATAATAATAATAATTTTTGTTAAAATAATAATAATTTAATTACTACTGCTTAATTTTAAAAATATTATTATAATTTACCGCTATTTATTTATATAATATTTTTTAATCACACTATTTCTCAAACTTAGCTCGATTTATTGAAAAATATTAATTTAAAATTATTCATTAGTAAAAAAATGAACAACCAATTATTATTCATAAAAATTATTACTTTAAATATTTTTACTATTATTATTATTAGGTATTATTATTATTAAACTAATTGAATAGTAATAATTATAATAGTAGTAGTAATAACAAAAATTACTATATTATTATGTTATTTTTTTAATTCTTATTATTTTATTTCTATTTTTTTTACTGTTATAGAAACCGAATGAAAAAACCGAAAAAAATTCTTCAGAAACAAAAGATATTCTTTACGGCTTCTATTAATATTGAAGCATTGTATTTAAAAGGGTAATACATTATGTAACTTAATACGTGTAACAGAAACGCCCTTAATTGCTCGATAATTAGATGCTTAGTTTGTCATAGAAGAATGTAAAGTGATGATAATATTGATTATATTAAATGCTTTATATTTAATTATTTAAATATCAAATTAATATAATAATGATAATAATAAAATAAGAAAAAAAATAATAATTATATTAATAACAATAATATTAAATAATACAATACAAATAATAATAATAGTAATAAAAAATAAAAGTCAAGTTCAAAATATATCGTAGTAGACTTATTTAATTTAATTAGATACTGAAAATTAACGAGCTAATTATAAAGGTCATAAAAAGAAGAAAATCTTAAAAATGTATTTCAATAATTAACACAAAGTAATGAATCCTCAAAAAAATTAATTTAAAAGATTTAAAAATAATATAAATAATTAAAAAATAGTTGAAAAATGTTTCACCAATTTTAAATTATTTCGAAGAATCAATAATTGTTGTAAAAAAAAATTTTTATATTCACGTTCGATGAAAACGAACATATTCTGGATCTTCTCCACCCGTTAATAAAGCAAAAAAGAATTTTGCATTTCAGATCATTTCTTTTTTTTCTATAGAAAGAAATATTATTCAAAATAAAAAAATTCTATCGTTAACTTTTTTTGTAGTAGAATAAAATTATATTGTTAATGACACTCTGTCGAGAACAAAAATATGAATACTGGTATTAAAAATATATTGTTCCTGTTTTTTCTGTTTTGGCATTTACAGTCTCTCATATTTACTGGAATGGGAGCTATTTTGTGTTTTGCTGCTGGTGTGATTTTAATCTACGACTGGGACAATTTTGAAAATAATTTGATTTCACAATATTTAAATCAATATCTCGATCAGACACTGGCCAGTGGAATATTTTCTCTTTTGGCTGCATTTGTTTTTGCACTGGACTTGTACTTGATAAATAAATACGAATAATTAATATAGTAATTTAGTAAAAAAAAATTTATATCTACATTGCGCCAACAGTTGTATGAAGAACATTAATACAAACTCATAAATATTCCAAAAAAGTTCATAAATTTGGTAAAATTTTTGAAATGTTGCATACTTATTTGATAATTTTCATCCTTACATAGAATTTCAAGCACAATTTTCAACTTGCATTTACATTAAAGTAAAATTTTCATTTCCTCGAATTATTATTTACTAAAATTTCAAATTTTAAGATTTATTTAATAAAAATACCAAAAACCGAATAACAATAAAAATTGATTTCAAATGAAAAAAAATTCAAAATGATACATTTCGTAAACAACTGGAATTTTAAATAAATTTTAATGGAATATTTTATGCATCCCTAAAAATAGTATTTCAATATCAACAACAAAATTTTTAAAAATTTTGTTGTTAATTTTGAATTGATTTTAAAAATTAAAAAAGAAAAAATAATATACAATAATTGAAATTTAGACAATAATTTTTTTGCAGAATTTATAATTCAGAATAGCATAATTTTCTATGTAAGTACACGGAAAGAAAAAGTCCGTCAATCATTAATAGACTAGTATATTACTTTGAGACGGGACACAAAATCATTCAATGGATAACATACTTTGAGTCACAATCAGTGACGAGTTGCTTGCTAAAATTTAGAAAACTGTCATCAATATATAAAACTCGTTCACTAAAATTTAGAAAACTGTCTATTAAATTTTCTATGACTATCAAAAGCATTCATTTTTTTCGTTGCACAGTTCCGATATTTTATTTACACTCTTAGACGCTTTAGACCAACACATTTTCCAACACATTTTCGCACTTATAATAACTGCACGTAGAAACGCACACTTATAACACTTTAAGTTTAGAAGCAAACTGTTCTTATATACCAAATAACAAAATTTTTCACAACTTGTGAGAAATGATTTTGCACTAATAACTACTTTTTAATTAGCGAGAAATATAAAAGAAAATATATTTTCATCGAGGTCAATTTCTAGACGCAATTCAACTGCAAATTGTTAGTTAAGTTAAATATTCACATTACACATAATAGTATATAGGGATATGTATAGCAGACAGCAAAAACACATGGACTATAGAGAAACCGGAAGAAATGCGCATCGGTACACTGCGCAACAATGCGCTAGTGAAGAGCGCCGATTTAGAATACGAGTCAACTAACGTTTCACAAACTTTCACTAATGATTCGTAAACATTCAAACAGCCATTGATAACAATTCAGCATTAAATCTAAAACAATTGGTCACATACTGGCATTCTAATCAATCCATGACTCGTTTTCAATCGTTAAGTAAAGTTAAGTAACCATCAACGGAAAAAGTGTCCCGTCTCAAAGTAATATACTAATCCATTAATGGTTGACGGACTTTTTCTTTCCGTGTAATAATGTTTTAATTTCTTAAATTGTAAAACAATACGGTACAACAAATTAATGTTTAAACTAAAAGTAGATTTAGAGCATGAAATATTAATAGAAAAAATATAACTCATTTTGTAATTATGAACATAAAAGTTTGGATAATAAAATATAGGTGTATAATATACTTATATATATATTTTTGTACAATTTTATGTGGAAATAAAAATACTCCTCATGTACACGGAGAGAAAAAGTAAGCCTTTTTAGTATGAAAATGGTTCACAATTTCCTAGCGCGAATTTTTACCTACGTTTAGAGCAAGAATACTCATGGAACTGACGCCTGAAACTCCTCCAATCGTAGTAGGCTTGTGTACCTACGTTTATTACTAGAATTTTCCTACTGAAATCGCGCGGGAAAGTTTCATGCATTAAACGTGCGCCTCTTCATATACTATAAAAGCTTACTTTTTCTCTCCGTGCAATATTATAATCTCGTGTAAATTTTCATCAATACCCAAGTGATTGTTGTATTTGAAATTTCAAATTTTATATTCAGTCTAAAATATGAGAACATCCAACCTAAAAATAATTCAACAATAGAACGCACAGTGGGCCAGGATCGTCGATTTTTGGCCAAAAATCATTATTTAAAAGAGAACAAGATATTTACGAATAACAAGTAGGCTACCTACAGTTTTTGGGGTCGCTAATTACGAATCTGAAGTCAGATTTTAAGAATTCAAAATGGCGGATCTAATATGGCGGACATAAAAATTTTAAAATTAATAAATTTGAATTAAACATAGGTATCTATGGGTTTTTTGGGTTGCTGATAACAAATCTGATGTCAGATTTCAAAAAATCAAAATGGCGGATCCAAAATGGCGGACATACAATTTTTAAAATTAATCGATTTTTATTAAACTTTGTATCTAGGGGTTTTTTAGGTCGCTGATTACGAATCTGATGTGAGAATTCAAGTGGATTTTAGATTGGGTGAGATTCGCCTACAATTTTTTGCTTGGGAGTTTTTAAGTTTGGTGATTACAAAGCTAGTGTCTATACAATTCAGAAAATAAAAATTTTTTTCCTGTTATTAGCCTACAAAAATAAAAAGTACTGTAGTTTCCAGGATCTACCACGAGGAGGTTACAGGTAAAGATCCCATTTTGTATTTTTTTAGATTTTTAAAATTTTTTTGGTTTTTTTAGACCTGATGTTTACTTACAGGTATATAGTTTATCGCGTGGGTATATCAGGTGCGCATGTAGTCCTATTGGAGAATCTGTTTTTATTTCCATGGATCAGATAAACACTCCATTTTATATCTAAATCTGATTTCAGAAACAAAGTGCTCATTTTTACATTTATAAAATCTGACAACAGATTCGTAATCAGCAACCCGAAAAACCTCTACATACCTATGTCTTATTGAAATTGATTAATTTAAAATTTTTTATGACCGCCATTTTGATTTCTTGAAATCTGACATCAGATTCGTAATCAGCGACCCAAAAAACCATAGAGTTATTAGCATAGAGTGCGCAAGCGACCAAAATGTTAGACAGCCATACACGGAAAGAAAAAGTCCGTCAACCATTAATGGATTAGTATATTACTTTGAGACAGGACTCTTTTTCCGTTGATGGTTGCTTAACTTTACTTAACGATTGAAAACGAGTCATGGATTGATTAGAAGGCCAGTATGTGACCAATTGTTTTAGATTTAATGCTGAATTGTTATCAATGGCTGTTTGAATGTTTACGAATCATTAGTGAAAGTTTGTGAAACGTTAGTTGACTCGTATTCTAAATCGGCGCTCTTCACTAGCGCATCGTTGCGCAGTGTACCGATGCGCATTTCTTCCGGTTTCTCTATAGTCCATGTGTTTTTGCTGTCTGCTATACATATCCCTATATACTATTATGTGTAATGTGAATATTTAACTTAACTAATAATTTGCAGTTGAATTGCGTCTAGAAATTGACCTCGATGAAAATATATTTTCTTTTATATTTCTCGCCAATTAAAAAGTAGTTATTAGTGCAAAATCATTTCTCACAAGTTGTGAAAAATTTTGTTATTTGGTATATAAGAACAGTTCGCTTCTAAGCTTAAAGTGTTATAAGTGTGCGTTTCTACGTGTAGTTATTATAAGTGCGAAAATGTGTTGGTCTAAAGCGTCTAAGAGTGTAAATAAAATATTGGAACTGTGCAACGAAAAAAATTTGTTCATTCTGTACCAAATAGTGTCTAAAATTAGGGATAATTCTGAAAGAAGTTGAATTTTTTGAATGCTTTTGATAGTCATAGAAAATTTAATAGACAGTTTTCTAAATTTTAGTGAACGAGTTTTATATATTGATGACAGTTTTCTAAATTTTAGCAAGCAACTCGTCACTGATTGTGACTCAAAGTATGTTATCCATTCAATGATTTTGTGTCCCGTCTCAAAGTAATATACTAGTCTATTAATGATAGACGGACTTTTTCTTTCCGTGTACGAAAAGTAGACCCCTTTTCTTTCTTTCTCTAATAACGCATGCGCGATAGTGAAACAGCTGATGCATCGAAACAATTGTTGCTTGCTTGCTGGCAATTATATTTTTCTTTTATTTACGTGACAAATAAATAATTTAAAAACATTTTTAGCAGGAAAAATGGTATTTTATGTTAAGTTTACCTGCTTTCAATTTATACTCATCGAAATAAGCAGCTCAAAATTAAAAATTCCAATTACTATAATATTATCGATACGACATCCAAACTAGAATTAAAAGTTGCGTCTTAACTTCAAATAACAGCCAAATAGCTTTTTTTCAACATGACTTTTTAATCCCACTCTACCCTATTTATTGTAAAATATTTATTTTACATTTAATTTTATTATATTTAAAACGATTTTTCATGCGATCTTTTTAGACAAAAACCTAACCAAAAACTTTTATTCTTGCACATGCGCCATTAAACAAGGTAAGATAAGGGGTCTACTTTCATGCTTTTGTCTCTTTCTATGCGCCTAAGAATGCCTCTTACGGTAAAAGTTATAACTCGCGCACTCTATTCTAATAACTCTATGCAAAAAAACCCATAGATACCTATGTTTAATTCAAATTTATTGATTTTAAAATTTTTATGTCCGCCATATTGGATCAGCCATTTTGAATTTTTGAAATCTGACATCAGATTCGTAATCAGCGACACAAAAAACCATTAAATACGACTGTTCATCATAATTGATTAATTTTGAAAATTGTCTTTATATATATTTATTGCATATATTTATATGTTTATTGCAATATTCTTGTTATGTTGAAAAAATATGAAAAGGCGCAAAATGGCACATATTGGCGTCAAAGTAGACATGCTAAGTAATCGTTCTATAACTTGTTTTTCCAAATATTATGCGGCTCGCAGGAGCTCGACTAACTGAAAGTCGGCACTCTATTGAAAAATCCACTATTTGTTAACTTCAATGGAGCTACATTTTAATAAATTTTATTTTTTTAAAGTAACTATTGGTTTTTTACTTCAATATATCTATTGATGAGAAAAAATAAGTACTTATACAAAAATAATTAATTTATTTCTAGATATATTAAGTATTTCAATCAAAAACATTTTATTATTTTATCTCAAATGTTAAACTTTAAATAGTTCTAGAAGACACAATTTTTTATTATTTAACAAATCCTTTATGCAATAAATTCCTTATTTACTATTAAATACTGTGGATAAATTCTTTAGTGCATATTTGAAAGTTGAAAAATTGTATTTTTGGCCAAAATTCGACGATCCTGGCCCACTGTGGAACGAAGTAAACACACCCAAACAATTTTTTTATTTAAAATAAATAAAAATTTATTTGAATTTAAAAACAGTTTATTTATTTCAGAGCTTACCAACCTTACCTGAAAAGTTATTGGACATAAATAAACAATGTGACGCAAATAAATAAATTAACGCTTTTTGAGAGCAAATAAAACTATTATTTAAACCAAATAAAATTTATGAGGGACACAAAAAATTAATAGGCTCTGAGAAAAATATATCTTCTTTTGTGGATCAATAATACTAGTACTAGTATGACCCATACTAGTGCTAGAATAATTCTAGGACTTTCTTATATTTTCTAATAAAAAGTATATGCAACAGCCTTGTATTTTGTGTCCTATCCAAAAGTCAAGCACTGTCAAGGAAGGATTCACGTATTTTTTTTCGTGTACTCCATTCTGACCCACACTGCATATTAAAACAAAAT